CCATCCAATTCTTGTTCATTTTTCTCATGTCTATTTCCGTTTCCCGGCGTAATGTGTTCTTTAGCCTTCTTCTTCTCACTTACCATTGTTGATTCCAAGTGAGGGCTTGTCATGGGACGCAGTTCGGCGCTTTTCTCAATGTGTATCCTATCCACTTCCAGAGCTTCTTCCTAATTTCTTCCTCCACTGGGAGCTGGTTTGTTCTCTCCCATAGTAGGTTGTTGCTGATAGTGTCCGGCCAACGGATCCGAAGTATTTTGCGTAGACAACTGTTAATAAATACTTGTATCTTCTGGATGATGGCTTTCGTAGTTCTTCAGGTTTCTGCCCCTTACAGTAGAACTGTCTTGACATTTGTATTGAAAATCCTGACCTTGGTGTTGGTTGACAGTTGTTTTGAGTTCCAGATGTTCCTCAGTTGTAAATATGCTGCTCTTGCTTTGCCGATCCGCGCCTTCACATCTGTATCAGATCCACCCTGTTCATCAATGATACTGCCCAAATATGTAAAGGTTTTTACATCTTCCAAATCGTCTCCGTCAATTTTGATTGGATTGGTGCATGCTGTGTTGTATCGGAGAATCTTGCTTTTTCCTTTGTGTATATTGAGATCTACTGCTGCTGAGGCTGATGCTACACTGGTCGTCTTCTCCTGCATTTGTTGTTGCGTTTGGGATAGATCATCTGCGAAGTCTAGATCGTCCAACTGCATCCTAGATGTCCATTGTATCCCGTGTTTTCCTTTAGATGTTGACGTCTTCATGATCCAGTCGATCACCAGGAGAAACAGAAAGGGTGAGAGTAAGCAACCTTGCCTACAAATATATTGCGATTACTTTATTACTATACTGTAAACAATTTTCGTCGTGAACCAACATCGGATAGAAAACCAAAAAAAAGCAAAATTAGGAAGTACTGGGTAGTCATTTTGTACCAAAAGTATACAATTTTAATTCAGCCGATTGTGTGAAATATCATGTACTAGTTTGAATTTCTTCAGTAATGGCCATATATACATATAAGCCAACCTCTCAATACTTGAGTGCAGTGTGAAAATTTACTGGCAGCAAAATCCGATTCCAAGACTCCACGTGGATCTGTTGAGTAGTGAGGACAAGATTGCTAGCTAATTTAGGCGGTAGGCAAATATCGGACTAATCCACCACTCTTATTCTGTACGTGAATCACTCAGGGTTCGCCCTTTGAGGCCGTAAAAGTTGTGAAAGGCTGCCCTATGTGGGTGCTTGAGTCTGGATTGCATGAGTCTCGTTTTGTGTAGTCGTGTACGTAGGTGTGTGCAAAGGATAAGCGCCAGGTTCACAAACAGGACGTAAGCTGAAAAAATGTCTGCCATATGTCTAATAAAATCAGAGGTCTAATTCATCATGTCACGGACATAATAAGAAGATATGGTAGCAATTACTAAAGAGAGATGACCATCAACCCTTCCTCAGATAGTGCTTATGTTCATGTATATGTCATGAAGTGCATGGACGATAGTCTTTGTACAAGTGGTATACAAGCAATAAGTAAGACAATCAGTCGAAGCAAACACGTTCAAAGGTAACGGTAAGTATCTACCCTCCGATGTGGGTGGATATACCTATATGTATTTTATGGGATACATGAGTGAAAACGTGTGTGTAACCGGTATGCATGTAACGTATATTAGCTCTCAGGGTAAGTATACCTGTGTATGCCAAGGGATGCATAGGTAAAAACTCATTTGTTAACGGCATGCATGTAGACCATACCTGCCCCCAAATGCCCTGGTACGGCCGAGAGTGGGGAGAGTCCGCTCTCCCTCTCGAAATGCTCTCACATGGCCACGCGTATATAGCCTCTGCCAGGGAAGTCCTACTCACTGCCTTCTCGTGGCGGCGGTGTTATTTACAAAAACGAGAGGACGAAAAGCGAATGTCCGGCGCTTTAACCGGGCCAGTGGACACGGTGAATTCACCTAGGGGAGTTTGAAAACACTGATTCCAAACCAATGGTGCACATGGGCCCCAGTATCCTGACAGAACAAATGGCGTACGAACCAATTGTTGGTGACCGGCTACCATGAGACTGCATCTCCTTACGATGCTCCACTGCCTTGTGGGTCAGACCTCTAGGTCGCAGGCTCGGGGAGTGGCCCCCTAAGAAAACCACCTGCTTCTGTTTGGGCACCCGAGCAGTATTACAGCTCTCGCACATATCGAATAAGATTTGTGTGGCGCATATGTATTTGGTGCCTTCTTGTACCAATATCTATGTGTTAAAATAAATAAATAAATAAATAAGACCATACCTGCCCCTTGGCGCGGCGCCCGGGCTTCAAGACCCAGGGGTTTCAACAATCTCCCCACAAATTCACGCCCACACGGTGCGTTCGTAAGCCTCGGAAAGTGGATTTTATAATCCAGACAAGTCTATGGACTTTGCAGAGTGAGACTATACTACCTTCAAACGGCTGGAATACCACACTAAATCGACATTTAATGGTCTACGCTTTTCGACTCCAAGTCAATTAGTGACAATGCAATTATCACCTGTTGTTACCAATAACGATGCACTTTATTATTTATTTATTTTAACACATAGATATTGGTACAAGAAAGCACCAAATACATATGCGCCACACAAATCCCATTCGATATGTGCGAGGGCTGTGATAGTGCCCGGGTGCCCAAACCGAAGCAGGTGGTTTTCTTAGGGGGCCACTCCCCGAGCCTGCGACCTAGAGGTCTGACCCACAAGGCAGTGGAGCATCGTAAGGAGATGCAGTCCCATGGTAGCCGGTGACCAACGATTGGTTCATACGCCATTTGTTCTGTCAGGATACTGGGGCCCATGTGCACCATCAGTTTGGGATCCGGTTAAAGCGCCGGACATTCGCTTTTCGTCCTCTCATTTTTGTAAATAACACCCCCGCCACGAGAAGGCAGTGAGTAGGACTTCCCTGGCAGAGGCTATATACGCGTGGCCATGTGAGAGCATTTCGAGAGGGAGAGCGGACTTTCCCCACTCTCGGCCGTACCAGGGCATTTGGGGGCAACGATGCACTTTACTGCGGCTTAATTGAGTTGACCTGTTACAACCTCCCCCTCAAATTTTAATACATTTATCTTCAAGTAAGCCAACAGTGAGCACACAAGTAGCAAGTAATCAATCAAAGGTTCTTATGGTGTGGTCGATACCAAGACACATTATATCATAAACTGAAGTATGAATATGTTAAAGTCTTACTTTTTCGGGTTAGTTACTTTTATTGCTTAGTATCCTTTGGATACTACTCCACCCGATTGATCCCCAAGTCAGAAAACGACTTGGACAGGAACGTAACTTTGCCCCCAAAAAACAGAAATTTAGCCAATTTCTTACAGTAAGGAAAATGTAAGTATAGCTACAAGTTTTATGCAGAAAGATTCCAAAGTTTTCTACATTTATATACGAACCCTTACTAGCTAAAAAAAATGAGCTCATCAGTGTGCTATAATGTGATTCCGTATGGAACGTGCTTTCATCTACATTGTCCTGCTAGCAGAATGATTGGTTTCAGAGCTAAAAATCCGCACCATAATAAAGAACACTGGGTCGCACTAACAAAGAGATTTTCAGAGATACAAAACGTTTACGACTCAATAATTACAAAGCAATAGTTGGAAAGCAAAGATTTTTTGCAGTAATACATCAAGAAAGTATATATCTAAAATTACTATGAAGAAAACACTCGTCCTTAGCTTTCAAATTAATGTAGCTCATTTAGGTTCATGAACTTCGATTTGATCCAAACTACGTGTAAGACGACTAGTGGTATAGCCCAACTATCCAAACCGAGACAGGCGGAGTAGGGTTCCAACCTGAGAAGGACTAGTTGGAAACCAGATGAATTAGCCACTATGCCATTCCAAATAATCAATATATAACAACTGCGTACAATGTTGATTTAAATTTACTAATAAAATCAGGATGCTTTTGTTAACTTGTTAATAAATCTCATATATCTAGAATTATACGGAAAAGGCTTCAGATCCCCTAACGTTCTACTGCCTTGTGGATTAGACCTCTGATTCAGATGCTCGGGGTGTCCCCCTAAAATAACAACCTGCTTCGATTTGGGAAACCAGGCGGTATTCCAGCCCTCATACAAATCGAATGACGAAGTGCGGCGCATATATAACTGGTGTCACCTTGTACCAACGTTTGTGTTAAAATAGATAAATAAATAATATGTTCTACAGGGAAGCTAACATGGTAGCTTTATTGAATGCAATCTTGAAGGTATTTTTAAATTTGCAACAATTGTAAATTTTTTTAATTTGTTCATATATCTAAGAATTGGTTAGAAATTTCCTGTAAAGCTCTTTCGAGTTTCGTTTATTACGCGCTTTCTTTAAATTTATTGTTACTTAATTGTGCCTGAAATCAGTTCTTTCAACAAACCATCGTGTTTGATCTTCTGGTACCAAGTCTCCTAAATAAAAAAATGATATATTTGTAATATCCCAATGATATATTATATATTATTTTTATTTGTAACTATCAACCCAATGCTCAATTTATTCGAAATTATCAAATCAAACCTTGGTAATGATACCTACAAGTCTCCTAATATATTCGGGGCTAAGCAACGTAATTCACTAAGGAAAATATTCGAAATTAGTTGGGAATCGCTTCAGTAAGGAACTAGATTAAGTTTATAGAAGCTTTCTAGTTAAATACTGCTATTCTCGTGACATTTGTCAACGAGTTTCACAGCAGTCATTTAGTAGCAACATAATATTGATGACAGGATCATATTAAAAATAATCAATATTTTGTACATGAGAAAACCCAGTCACTTAGATGATATCAGATGACAGATGTTTAGGTAAGAAAGAACGACCATTGGTAAATCAAAGCATCTTTTATTACAAGTTTACTTCTGAGTCCATAATAATCAAGTAAAATGCCAAACGTACACTCTACGTACGTATCGAAAACAAATATTTTTATATGGATACAAATGAACTTACTTGTTCTACTTCAGTCAGTCCACCAATCATAAATGCAAACTGTCTCAAAGTATCAGCTTGGTAAGCAGGAATCAAACAAAAACATACTTGCAGTGGGACTTTGAATTTAATTGCCAGACGTTGTGCATAAATAAAAGCCCAGTTATCTAAATTATCCGATAAAATAAAAATATTTGGTTGCAGGTAACAGGAACAAGTAAGCCGTATAAACTGCATAACATATTTTAAAACCCATTTCGACAACTGATTAAATCACTCATCTGGATGGCGTACTATAGGCAACACGATGACAAGCACACTAAAGATGGATGAATTACGGTGCAGCTAAACTAAAATTTAATAACATGTATCACGAAGACGATGGAAACAACTTAGACTGACTAATCAAATTTGTATTTACCAATCTTCCGATAATCTAGTGGCGAACATGATACTAACACATGATTTGGTTATGTAGAATTAACAGGTACTTTACGGCACTTGAGATTTTATAACATGATAAACACACTGAATACCGGTTAAATTTAGAATACTCATCACACGATGAGACTTTAGTCAAGAGATGACCTGACAATTAAAGGTCTGGGACAACTTAGATATTACACTAAAGGGTAGTGGCTATTTTGCATAAACGTGGTGAGATTCGTATCATCTACTTATACTACCTCTGGTAGTCAACATTTTAAGGTACCTGTACGCTGTTGTAATGAATAATTATAGGGGAAAATTACCAATAGTTGAGTGCAATGACTAGGTTTGAACACATGTCACAACACTATAGGGCTTAAATATACGCATAGATAGCGAAGTTCGAGAAACATTAGTGAGAACTGAGTGCATAAACAAATCCATCTCAACTAAATAAAACGAAAGAAAAGTAAATACCCAGCTTGTAGTTGCTTCGGTTTGGGCACCCGAGCAGTATCACAGCCCTCACAAATATCAAATGAGATTTGTGTGGCGCATATGTATCTGGTGCCTCCTTGTACCAATATCTATGTGTTAAAATAAATAAAAATTTTTTAGTTGGAATTGATCTTGAATTAGATTGTCAGTAAATCAGGACATAACCCTATATGGCTTTGGCAATCGCATATCAACTTAAGTGAGCCTGAACTGAGCAACAAATATGATTTCCTCACCAATTATAAACACTAAAAAGCCAAAAAAATATAACCTTAGATTGTATTACCCTGAACTCGTTGATCACGTGACATCCAGTAAAGTACTCCGCCCTGTCCCAATGCATCATCTTTTTCTGGGAAAGTGCCTGGCCCAGACAAATGCCTTATTCTTAATTTGTGAAACTTGAAATTTTCAGCAGAACTGGCAGTAGAAAGACGTTTATTATGCACATCCTTAAGCCACTCAGGTATTGTTTTAGTCAGTATAGCCATTTTGTTTGACTTCCTATAAAATAAATGAATAATTATTCATTTCTTAAGAAATCCAACAGGAGAATAACTTATGTTTAAACTATAGTTAGTAAACTATAGCTATATATAGCTATAGTTTACTATATATTACTACATACACTGTATACTATAGTATACTAGCTACTTTCCTTTGTAGACTAGATATGTTCGACCTATGCAGATTGATTTATGTCTTACAATTACGTTAGGCTATAAAAAGTTTTCCTCGTTCTTATAAGAAAACGTGAGGACCTCAAATGGAGTTGTTATTGGTTGAAGTCAGTCACGAGACTTCCAAGGCCGAACTAGGCATTTCAAGGGCAGTATGCCATTCAATTTGAAATACCCTGTTCCAAAATTCAATAATAAGGATAGGAGGTTATAATAATCCTTTCAGTTTGTAACAATGTGGAGGTTCAACGTCGTTCTGAATACATCAACAGAAGGTGCTGATATTCCCGTAATTCACTACTCGGTGCGAAAAACGAAAGTCCAGACGTAAACGATTTGATCTCGGTTTTTGAACTTTATTCGAGTGTCCTCTCAGATGATCAGTCCTAGACGAAAGTAAAAGATAAGACATGTTAATACCAAGGTCATCATTCAATATACGATAAGCCAATATTAGATCGCCCCGTACTCTATGGTAAGGTAACGTAAATAAATTAAGTTGTTTCAGTTTGTCTTCATAAGATAGGCTAGATAAACCTTTTACCATCTTATTACCTCGTCTTTGGACTCTTCCCAGCATATCTTCTTCATGCTTGAAACAAAGGCTCATTGCTTGAATCTCATACTCCAGATGTGGTCGCACATAAATCGGGTATAATAATTTAAATATTTCGTCATCTAAATAATGGAAAGACCTACCAATAAACCATAACACTCTATAGCCTTTAGCAGCAGCAGCAGCCTCACAGTGACTAGTGGTTTTCAGATCAGACCTGGAACATTTCTGAGTGAAAAAAAGAAAATTGATTGTTTTTTGAAATTTGAATCACAATTCCTAAATGCTTTTAACGTTTACTGCTACTAGCCTTTTTATGTCTATCTTTAACAATGTAATACTAATTTGAAGATGCCGCAAGTATTCCGAGATTGACAACGTCTTAACCAGTAACATCTACTATGAATCGTACCCACCAAGTGAAATCAAAATAAAGAAGAGAGGAGGTTCGAAGATATATTAGATAGCCTATCAATATATCGAGGGTCGACTGATCTAATCTGGCTAGAGATTGCAGGGGATGTTGAGCACGGCGTTTCCACTCGCGACCTGGTGCGGATGAAAAACCGAGTGCTTTCAGCTAGACGGGTCCATTAAAACTAATGGGGTCAAAAATGAATGTCGAAGGTTTACAGGGCTATTTGTTCTGGGGATTTATTTACCTTTATACATTAGTTCAAGTAATTCCGGATGAAATTGAAGAAGCTTGCTCATGACGGACTACCATATTTAGTTGCAGTGGATCATCGATGATGGGAGAAAAACCAAATATGAGCATATATCTTGGTAGATGCAGGGAATTTCTTAAAAGAGATGGTTATTTTCCGATAATATCCTAGGCGTACACGGTTGACGCATCACTACCTACCGCTACTAGGTTTTTGCATACGTAAGTATCCAGAGTGTTAGTAGTGTTAGGTCTTAGTAGACAGAAGCTGAAAATTGGTGAAGATCGATAAAGTTGAACGCAATATTGATCATCGAACAGCATGGTTCGCACCACCTTAATTATATCAATTTCCTAGTAGGGTTTCGTCCGTAGGATATAAAATCTTGCTTTCTATGTGCACATAATCACGGTTGTGAATGTACTCAAATACATGCATCTTATGTAACAATAGTTTTACGTCATTCCTTCCACATTACGCTATTTGGTTCTCTATATCCAGGAACATCACGTTCAGAATCATTAGTGTAGCACTCAGGCTAGTGTAGTTTGACTCCTACAAAACCGATAATACAGTGTTTCATTCTAATCCTTTAACAAACATAAACTCGAGATTTCATGCACACAGTTCCCTTTATCATTTTGAGAGGAGAAGGGACAAAATGTTTAGCAGAATAGCATGAATTCATTTTATTTCGTTGGTTCTCTTCAGCTATTTGCAACTTGTGATATTGCAAATCATAATTACGAAATGGGTCAAAATTATTTCCCCAAAACACAAATATAGAAGAGGGTAGAGTGGTCTTAATCGTGTGTTTAAGAGAGAGCCGATAATCTCCTCCTAAGATAAAAACATCATCGACTTTTTTTACATGGGGTGGGTATTACGTTTACTTTTTTATAGTGAGTGATGGAAGGTTTGCTTGTGTAAATTAAGATCTCGCACTACATTTACTTCAGGCACTGGGTAATAAATCTATTAGGACCACCTTAAAGTCTTTTACATACCTGCTCAAGGATAAGTTATGGAAGCACATCCAAACAGATACCATCGCTAGAATATAAAGCTCTCAGGGTTATTTAACAAAATTCCCACAGTGAAGTCTAAGACACATTAAGTCGTTAAATGTTTGAAGAATATAAACTATTCAACACATAACATTTCAAAGTTTATCAAAGTATTTTCCTAGCACTCATTTTGTCTTAGCTTTCGGTCTCAATGGTTTCATGATGTACATATGTTTAATATTCAAAGTGTATATTTCACTTAATACAACGTCATATTCTGGTGGCTTTAATATTAATTTACCGTCATTCGATTGCCTGTTCGAATTTAACGACTTGGTTCTCCTTTCTCAGACAACAGTAGGTCTCCTATCGAAAAAGGCCTATTATTGTTCCAAGGATTTAGTGTTTACGATTCTTGAAATTTTTCACTCAGTATGATGTGGTTCTAGTTATGCTGCTTTCAGTAAATTAAACTGGTTCATCAATTGAAAATGGAAATACACTCTTTGCTTGTCATAAACACATTAATTCTTTGCCACATACCATCAACGTTTAACATAACGGATGTCTTTTAAGTTGATTGTAATCAATCCTATAGATGTAAGTTTGTTAAACTGACTTCAGGACTCTAAGTAAGGGACTGCCTCGTGATGCAGTTTGGTGATTTCCGTAATGTATGTCCTAGCCATTTCCATCGTCTTTCCATAATTTCCTCCTCATCTGGAAGCTGACTTGTTATATTCCATAGTAGAGTGTTGCTGATGGTATCCGGCCAGTAGATGTTGAGTATCTTGCGTAGACAACTATTTATAAGCACTTGTACATTCTTGATGGTAGTTGTTGTAGTTCTCCAAGTTTCGACTCCGTACAGTGGAACTGTTTTGACGTTCGCATTGAGAATTCTGATTTTTATATTGGTTGAAAGTTGTTCTGAGTTCAATATGTTCTTCAGCTGTAGGAATGCTATCCTTGCTTTGTCGATTCCCGCCTCTATATCTTCACCAGACCCTCCACATTCATCGATGATGCTGTCCGGGTAGGTGTAAGGTTCGATCTCTTCCAAAGCTTCTCCATCAAATGTGATTGGTTTGATGTTCCACGTTCTGTATTTGAGGATCTAAATCATTTAGTTGCATGGGTCGGTTTCCGACCCATACCGCATATGGAGAAATTCGAACACTTCACTTCTATCCGAAGTTTGTGCTGATGTTGTCGTTCAGAAGAACGATAAAAGCTCCACGACCAAACCATCCAGCTCAGAGAACAAAACACCACCAAAAAGAGTAATTAGTCTTGCCTGACACCAGGCCTCACTTGCAATGCATCTGTCAGTAGTCCTCCATGCACGACTTTGTACTGTAACCGTCGAATGAGTTCCATATAGCGTTGACAATCGTCTCATCAACTCCATAATGTCGAAGAGGTTTCTATAATGTTCTCCTATCCACACTGTCAAACGCCTTCTCACAGTCAGGGACGTTGATACATAGTGACGAGTTCCATTGAATTGATGGTTCATCGATGAGCTGTAGTGTCGTGATTTGGTCTGTGCACAATCGATGCCTACGGAACCCAGAATGTTGACCTCAAATTTGGGCGTCTACTGCGTCTTTCATCTGGTTCAGCAGCATTCTGTTGAAAAGCCTTCCTGGTACTGATAGTAATGTGATTCCTCTGTAGTTCTCACACTTGCTCAGATCTTTTTTGGTATTTTGATGAGTTGTCCTTCTTTCCAGTCTGTCGGCATTTATTCTTCACCTCAAATCATACTATTAATTTTAGTGGCTCCATTCAATATTATTTTTTTGGTACAATATAGAATTCTCAGCATAGAGTGTTTCAGGAAGTTTCCTTTTCTAATATCCTGATCGGTATTGCGATAAATATTGAGTGGTCGCCAGTTAGATTTTATCAGTCCAGGAATCGACATCTGGATGATGTATATCCTTTTCGATGCATATTGCCACCAAACACGATGTTTCTGATTGTGCTTTTTGTACCTTGTACAGCGAAATGTCATAAAACTTTCACAAACGTACCTGAAAAGCTTATGAGAGCAATAGGTATCATGATGTGCTAGAACAAATAAGAAAACAGATAAAATGTTGAGATATCTAGATGGCGGGAACAGGTAGCCCTGATATTCAAGCATGTTTGCAGTCACTTCTATACCTGATCAGTATTTCGTTTGATATGTGGTCAGGTCCTGCTGCTTTCCCACTCTTGATTTGTCTGATGATCAGGCATCCTGATTTCTTCGATCGTTGGTGGAGCGACATCTATAGGAAGGTTTGTAGGTGCTGCTTGATTATCCGGTGGATTCAATGGAGCTGGTCTATTCAAGAGTTCTTCAAAGTGTTCTACCCTCTGTCCTTGAATCTCAGTGACTGTCTTGTCTTCCTCGTCCTTGACCGCTTTCTCTGGTTTACTACATTTCCCTGACAATTTCTCTGTTGTCATATGGTTTTCTGATGTTTCCTTCTCTTGCAGCTCTTTCCCCTCCCGTTTCTAGGTCTTCCATGTATTTCTGCTTGTCAGCTCTACTAGTCCTCTCCACTTGCTCGTTTGCTTCAGAGTATT